GCCCCTGGACTCTTTACTGGGGAGGGGTGGGGGTTATTGGTTATCCAAGTAAACACCTCAAGAAATGGAAACTTGGGCTGTTTGCATATCCTCTGGTTCTTTATAGAGAAGATATTACAACAATAAAATACAGCCTCCATTATGCATTTTGCAGATGAATATGAGTAGCTGAAGGGAATGCTTTAAAAATTCATTGAGCAGAAATGTGTCAGAGTTGACAGTTTTCTCTCTTTTTTTCCCAGTTTGATCCCCATTAAGCACTTCCCTCTGATTCAATAAATGCTAAAGGGAGTCATTATAATATTCAGATTCATTCTCAGTCCTTTGGGATATAAATCTTTGGAACCCATAAATACTTCTGACTCACATTCTCCGAAAACTTATATCATCATTTTCTTTTCTTTTTTCCATACTTCTAAGCTAATTTAGCACATACAGTAAAAAGTAGCTTCAGAAAATGCTGACTCCCAAATACAATCAAAGTGCTAAGCCACACAACCACCATGACATCTTTGAGCTTCAAAATAAAATATGTTTACTCATGTAAAAAAAATACAATCATTTATATGTTTTTATAAATAAAGTATTTTTTGTTCGTCTGTTTCCCCTTCAGCCTGCAGCATTTTTTGTCTTACAATTTTAAAGGGAAAAAAAAGCACTCGTGGGTTCTGAAAGCCAAACCAGTTTTCAGAACATATTCATGAACTTCTGCAACCACATATTTATCCAAAAYCAGTAAATATTATTCTCTAGACAAGAAAAAAAAAGGAATGAAAGTGATAGTTCAGATATTAAGGTGGCTTTGAAAGGGTTATAAACAGTAAATATTTTACTTGTTGTAAAAAGATTGTTGAACTTGTTGTAAAAAGATTGTTGAACAATCTAATTTTCTCGGTTAATCTGAACGACGCCAAGATCAAAACAAATCATTTATCACATGGAGATTCAACAGCCAGATGCAGCTGCTATTTGCACTTGTAAACAAACAATTGCTCATGCACATAAGTGTTTCCTGCTAAATTATCATGAATAATTAGGTTGTTAAAATTGCATTTGTTATGACATTATTTAGATTACAGTTGCTTTAAGAAGACAGCAATCACTTTGATCTTAGCCCCTCTCAGAYGTYAGCRTRTCCTTCAAGTAAAGGARGTCAATCATAGAGCTATCTACAACWGGTAAGATATTTATTGCTCATAACAATTTAAAGGATATTTACTTTTRAAAGTCTGAACTACTATAAAGAGATTAAAAAAACAACATAATTTCTGCACAGCTATTTTTGACATCTCACATTATTAGAGAAAACAAAGCTCTAACATTGCGTCTTCAACAAAGACAGTAATTAAGCTTTATTAAAAAAAAACATTTCAACTGGTGCTCTGAAAGTTGAAAATATTTCTCCTGAAATTCAGTGATATTCCTCTGCGTGTAAGACAAACAAATATTTAAAATCTCACTCGATAAATGAGTGCTACAAGTAAACATGAACATTTGCCAGGGGGTGAAACAACAGCACAAGCTCTCTCCCAACAATTATCGTAGAAAATATTTTCCCCAACAGACATCTGGATGAAATAAATCAGTACAAGTACTTAAACACAGGCCTGCTGAAAGAAAACACTCGGACACAGACAGAGAGGCTACCAAGTTTCTCGGCCGTCAACATGTTTTTAAGTTAACGTCAGTGCAATAAAAGAAAAATATAAATCTGACTGGCAGCTACAGTAAACACGACAGCTCTATTTTAGCTGACTAACAGCAGTTAACTGGCAAACTTGGCATAGCCCAATCTCTTCATTACACCTCCACAAATATCTTCTATCAATCTGATGTCTTTTCGAGGCATTTTGTGTCTCCATATGTTGATATTGGCTGGTGAGACGTCCCCTTCATACATCAGATTGTACAGGCTTGTGGAGGTGGTGAAAATAAGCTGATTAAGGGCTGCAGGGGACACAGGCACCCCCAGGAAAGTGTGTATTGTCTCTGCCGTCTCCTGGGGGAAGTCGACGACATCCTCGAACCTCAGCTGGAGGAATGACTCCTCTGGGAGACTGTCGGTGACCCTGAGAGCGGCGGCTGTGTGAGCTAGCCACAAATGAGCCAGAATCAAAACAGGGTTTGTCTCGGAATGGGACAGCAGCCTCTGGATGAGTTTAAACTCCGGGGCCACAGCTGGACACCCGTCCCTGACAGAGTCCTCCTTGAATATCAAGGACAGGTGCTGTGGAATGTTTTTGAGCGAGTAAAGGCTGGGTTTGCTGTTATAAACCATGAGATAAATCCATGCACGTGGGTCTCTTACTAAATAGATCGCCCTCAGAGAAGGGCCCACCACTTCCTGTATAAAAGGCAGTTTAAGTGTCCAGCTCCCACTTCGCATGTTGAGGACCACCCGAGCGTTAGGGTACTCCACAACATGCCGTCTCATCTCCCGTATGTACTCTGCATCTCTGTCCAGGCTCGTCTTCAGTTTGCCCTTAAGCTCAGCTGCAGACTGCTCTTTCCTCCTGGATCTTTTCTTCCTGTCCCTAGAGGGGATGACTCGCTGGGGCTGTTTGACCCTGCTGCCCTCTACAAGCTGAATGTTTTGCAAGTGCAGCCTGGTGTTGTGCACCAGCGAATGGAGCCAGCCCTGGATAACCTTAAACCGCCCATGCACTGCATCTGTCCTCGACCACTCGCAGCTGTCAACCACAGAGTCAAACTCAAACTCGGTTTCTGGAATGTCCACATGTTCCGTGGGAACCCTTATGTAAAGAAAGTCGGAGTTATTGTAGAAAAGATGCTTGAGTATTTCTGATCCTGATCCCGGAAGAGCGGTTATGACAATGGTGGGGAGAGGGAGACGGTGCTGTTCGTACAGTCTGATTTGTTTATTTAGCTCGCTTTTGGCATCCCCACCTTTCCATTTTACCCCACAGAGAAGCTGATCACAGCTGTTAGACAAAAACAGCAGCTCGACTATCCACAGAATGAGCACAGACAGGAGGGCGTAACGCATCAGACGGCTGAAACAAACATAAAACTTTCTCTGCATGGTCAAAAATCCTATGGCCACACAAAGAACAACCCCTGCTACCACATTAACTGCAAAACCAATGTCAAACAGCTGACTATCACTGCTGATTTGTTTCGGGATGAGTTGTGCTCCGAGGCCATATCTAATRATTTGATGTCTATCCTCAACTTTACTGTGCCCCCCAAACCCTAAATAAGCCAACCTTGCGCCGATATCTTTATAATTTGTAGCAACAGAGACAATCTTCTCTGTGTTATTAATAGTTAAAGAAAGCCTCACACCATTTTTGCTGCTRTCTATAAATCTACAGTTGGACACTTTAACATAGGGCCCATGCAGCACGTAAGCTACTCTGCTGACTGTGCCTGTCATCTGAAAAGTGACGTTGACATACTGCGTCCACCTCTTCTTAAACTCTGCTGCCTGCTCTGCTTCCTGTATCCTGGTATCAGGACTGTGACCCTGGCTGTCAAACCAAAACATTTTATAATGAGCGTCCCACACATCCATCATGGCGCCGTTGTACCTGTCCATAAATCTGAAAGGAACGTATTTGAAGTCAATGTCAAGATTGTGGAAGAAAGCACTGAGAGACGTCACAAGCGAATCGCCCCACTTCTCCACGTGGTCGAGCACCAGCAGTGTCTGTGAGTTCAGCAGAACCAAGGCTCGGAAYACGCTCTTCAGTCTCATGGCCGGGGAATAGGCGGACACGGCTTCCCCACTCACAAACATGGTGTCTGCGTGCGAGGAGGCGGCAATCACCTCCCCTCTGGTGTCACCCACGCCCTCATCGGTCCAACGCAGCCACTTGGCACACTCCCCTAGCTGACCCTCCCATGGACTGTTGCACTGGCTTGTTGGAGATGGACTAAACACCAGCACATTGTTYAAATAGCTGTACTTTGGGCCATAAAGTGCTTCAGACACAAACACTTGACCGTTAGGGGCAAATGTAAAAGAGTTCTGGTCTGGGTGTTCGTGGCCGGGATTAAAGCTGTTCCAACCATCTACCCAGGAGTAAGGCTTGTCATGGACAATGTCGTAGACTGCTCGCCCACCCAGCCGGCCGGACTTAAAAGAGACAAAAGTATTACTTTGGCCACAGGGAAGCCCGGCTCCGTATGTAACCACCCCCCAGTTTGAGAAAATATGCATTTTCACTTTGCCAAAGTCGTGAGGCGGCTGTGATATGAGGTGGGAGTTGTACCAGATGTACTCTGTGTGCAGCGTGGCCCAGCGCTGGGCAGAAGACTGCCCCATGGGACCATCCTTGGGTCTATGCTTTCTAATCTGTTGAGCCAGCCAGTTCCCTGTCCCGTTCTTCATGACAAATGTGTCGAGGAAAACCAGCTGGCTTTCTGGCCCATAAAACCAGTTGTAGTTGGAGTCTGCTATGCCAACTGTTCTCTGAAAGCCTGGCAGCAGGGTGGCATAATAAAACCAGAAGTGTTCCCGCAGCCAGTTGTTCTGCATGTTGTCGATACTGAAATGGCGCTGGGCTAAAAACACATACTGTGTGATGGACTTGGCTGTGTAGCTTCCGTAGGCGACTCCCTCGTCCAGAGACCCATCAACAACGTGATTCAGAAGATACATAGTTTTCTCCATATAGTTCACTGCCACTTGTTTCCAGATCATGGACTCTGGGTTTTTGTGTGAACCCACCACTATTGCACCAATTAGAATAGCTAAAACATTAGTGGTTTGATGATTCTGGAGATACTGTTTCCCCCACGCTCTGTACTTAGAGAGCTCATACAGTGCTTCTGTCTCKGAGCGAATTTTATTGAGGTAAAGGTCTTTTCTGCGCTCATCCAGAAAGGAAAAAATAAAGTCATAAGCAGTGGCAAACCCCGTCAGAGAGTGCGCCATGGGGACCTCATCATTCGGAGCGCTGGTCACCGTCCAGTCTGGGTACTCAGCCATCCTATCCATAAACTTGATAAGAAACTGCAGGGCAGCAGAGTCCTCGGGGCACAGCAGGCAGTATAGGGCCAGGGGGGGCAGGTTGTTCCCATAAATTTCATTCCACTTGCTTGTAAACTCCTCATGTTTCACAGGGGGCATGTAAGAGGGGACATTAGACAGCATGGTGAGCACAGCCGCCCGAATGACTTTAAAAATGTGACTGTGGGTGGTGGAGGACCTTTGCCTCAAGTGCAACACATCCACTTGGTTAAAATATAGGTTGGGGTAGGAACCGGCAGAGCGSAGTTTCCACTGCTCGGTCACTCTGTCTTGTACGAACTTGACCTGGAGCAAGTCATCTGTAAAAATGTCTCTGTCCGTGGCATTGAAGACCCCMGAGAAAGCTGCCCCCAGGGCAAACAGTGGGTAAAAAAAATATACAACCCACATATAAGCCATATCGCATGATATCAGTACATTTTTCTAAATTACAAAATGAAGCAACTGAATGTTTTCTTCTTTAAATATGTTGCTGTTGAGTTTCAGTTGCAAAAGTCCATAAAATTATTTTTAATGCAAAAGTCAACCCGATAGTCCTTATAAGAAAAAAAAGAAGAAAAATACTTGAGTGCAAAACGTGTTTAACTCAGTTTGAAAAGGTAAAACGTTATAAAAAAAACCTGTCCAGTGTGTTTTCACTTTAGATCCAGGTGAGGCAAAAAATAAAAATAAAAAATAAATCCTTGTGTCCTCATGTTGTCCTCAGTCCGTCCTTTTTCGTAATCAGGATGCTCGTAAAGACTGACATCTCCAGTCTTGCCAGTAACTCAAATTGATCTCCTCCCCTGCACGTTTCATCTCCGGACAAACATCAGAGTCAGCCCCAGTCCGTGTCCGGTCCAATCAGAGCCGCCCAGAGGCTCCAGGAGCAGCCCGACCGAGCTACAGCATCCGCGGACTGGAACCTCAGCGAGCCGCGCATCTCCGCGGAGATCATCGCTTCTCCTCCGTCACACCAACACCACACTCCGTGCTGCTTCTGGGCGCAGAGACCGACCGGAACATTCAACTGTTTGCATTGTTAACAAACCTCCTCTCTTTTCTTGTTTTCTTCCACCCAATACGATTAGAGGAAAGTTGTCGTCACTCCTCAAGTATTCAAAGAATGAAACATTTCACAGACTGTCCGCGGGAAACTGCAGAAAACATCTCGACAGGAYGATTATTCCAAGTGAAAACACGTCCCTTTGGAGAAGACCCGCTGTTGCTTCAGATACACACGCCTCTCATAAGCGCTTGTGTGTGTGTATGCGTGTGTTTGTGTGTGTGTGATCTCCCGTCTCGTCTCCCGTTGTGTCCTCCCGACTGTTCAACACAGTCTGTTTGATTGTTTTCCTGTGAAGGATGGAAAATTTTCCACTGAACTGTAGAGGGAGCCGTGACTTCAGGAGCCCAGCCTCAGTCCTCGTTCTGAAGCTGAATAAATGTTACAGAAAACTATTTCTTATAAYGATGCAAAGCTCTCATCCATCCATGCATCTCATTGAATAACATATTTCTTGTATTTTTAGATTTGCGGAAGCTAAAAAAATTAAATGAGAAAAAATTGCTTATTGCAGATAAAATATGAGATTGACTATTATTTAATGGATTCAGTTGTGAAAGTAAAATTCTGACAAAATGTTTAATTTCACGAGTAGCATTTCTGTTTGGAGAATTAGAGACTATTTTTGAAGGACCAGCAATGTTCACTGCTTCACCCTCTATTTAAAAAAGTATGCTTTTTGGTCACTTGACAAAGTATCATCAAAACTAATTATRGCCAAATGTAAGACGCAATAATGTCTTTGAAATAAGCGTGGAAATAAGCTTTTAATCGACATGTTTTTTGGCAAGTATGCCTAATTTCAAAAAAAATAAACTATTTTTATTTGTTAACATTATTGGCTAAACACTTGCATTCAATGACAAACTTAACAAAAACACATTTACTGCCTAATCTTTTCAGAAAACCACAAATAAAATATACAAATGATCGGAAGTGGAAATAAAGGCAAGAAAAGAAAAGGAAGTTTAAAACTAGCACTTTCAAGGTTGGACTATTACTGATGGGTAAATACAATGACAGTACATCAGTTAACACCAAGGACAATTACACMCAGCTGTGAAACTGAGACAGGAGAAAAGATGGAGTTACATTTAGACAAATTTTCAAAATATTAAATTACTTGCAGGTGACACCACATCAAGGTTTAGTTCGATGTCAGTTCACTGAGCTATTGCCATCTGTGTGTTTGTGGCTTGATTATTCAGTTAAATACATTTGAGAATATGTTTCATTAGAATCTGTCCAGTGCTTCATGAGATATTTTGCTAACAGACTCCACAAGTTAAAGGCAAAGGTCTTGTGTAATCAGTTATTATACGTGTAATGATTACTTTTTGCCACTGAAATCCTGTCATAAGATGATGCTTGTGCTTGTTGATGAAGTCAGTCTGTGTATATTAGGTTTCTGAACAGCATCTTCACTTTATGTAGGACTGCTCTCGCTGCACCAACACCACTCGTGCTGTGCAGCATGGTATCCCTCAGGGAGTACTGTTGCATGATGTTTTTTTTCCCCCCTCCCCACAGCTTGAAGGCAAAGGTTCGCAACAGGAGCACAGTTGGCTTTGTCGGAACGCTGCAGGAAACGCACTCAGTGTTTTCTTTGAGGGAAAAATTCTCCATATGGAGAAGAGATGCAAAAAACATTCCGAAGGGCAAGCTATAATCATAATCTTAAATTGAATTCAGCCTGATTTGTTCTTACAAAGATTTTGTTTTAGGATTCACAAACAAACTTGAAAACCTTGAAATTTAAATAAAATATTACAGGTTACAGTTAAAGGAACAACTCATTTTCATGTTTTGTTGTTCGTGTCAATAACAAGTCAAACAACACTTTGATTCCCTTTGGATCAGAAAATTGTTGCAGTATTTAATAGTAGAAAAAATTATTTAATAGACAATAGTACCATGAAGAAAAACAGTGAGAATTTACAAATATAGACATGGTTTATTAAATAAGAAAATTTTATTTTATTTACAACATAGCACAAATGTTGTTTTTAACGCATATTTATATAGATTGATGTTTTTACCATGTTTGTTAGCTAAATGTGTCACGAACCACTGGATAGATTTTAATGTAAATTTCAAAACACAATTATTATTAATCAATTTTAGATGTTCACCACAGCTAGTCAACAACTTAAACAGTGAATTTCATAACAATTAAAATAAAACCTGTTGATAGTAGCTGAGAGTCATTCACAACACATAGGGCTAACAAAGAATGTAACATATTGCATGAGATTGTCTAAGTTTGACTAAAATAGATACAGTTCCACCATTTCACAGCCTAAGATGCACTTAGTTTAATACATTAATTGAAGTAGCATGTTAAAGAAAAAAAATAACTTTGTTTTGTTTTTCAGAAAATACAAGCTGCCAATAAATGCAACGAAACTAAAAAAAGAAAAGAAAAAGAAAAGTTAAGAAACACAATCAGTTTTAAAAATAAACTGATGTCTAGTCTCCACGTCTTGTGTATTTATACCTTTGAGTCTGTATCAGATTTTCCAGCAGAATAGGATCCTTTATTTGGCATTCACATGTGTGGAAATAAAAGTGTCCATATATTTCTGTTGGACACAAGTTGTAACCACATCTGGCTGCAGCTCATCTCAGTGATGTCAAGACTGCTGTTCCTCTTTCCAGTTTTCCTTTCTGATCTTGCGGAGGAGGTGAGAAGTATTTTTCATTTCACAGTCACTCAAGCTTTTTTTTTTTTTTTTTTTTGCTTCATTCAAAATGTTGTATTAGGCTCAGACCAACATGAAACTGCTCTGCACTCTGGCATCAGAGGAAAGCATTGAGAAAATATCTTCTCCAGATAGGCTTAGAGCCACAGCAGTGTTTGTTTACTGCACACCACTTGTTGAAGGGTTTTTTGTTTGTTTCTTTCTAACTTGCTAGAATAACTTCTAATCATAATGTAGAAACYGGAATAATTAATGTTATGTTCTCTCTTATAACTGAACTTTTTAATACAATGGACTCTTTGGTTGAATGTTACTTACTTTATTAACCTTGCCAAAGAACACTGGCAGATCAGTGTGCACACATACTGTACCACGCACTTGGTGTTCTTCCATTTAAGAACCAAAATAGTACCACTAAACAATGCATTTCTATTGCTAATTGCATAACAATGTCATGTCTAATGCATCATAATTTTAGGAATCATGTCACTTCTAACTTAACCATGTTTCAAATTAAAACTCTTTTAAAATATTTAAAAACCAGTGAGAAACAGCCTTAGGTTATAAGAAAAATAACACTTTATTTGAAGAGGTGTGCATAAGACTGACATGACACTATCATAAACATGACATAACACCTGTCATAAACATTAAGGAGGCTTCATTAATGTTTATGACTGTTGTCATTACGTGCCATAAGGTGAATTATGACACGTTTAATACAAAGTTAACATTGTTCAAAATGTCTTGGTTATGGCAACTTGACATAACTAAGAAATCACGATGTGACACAATCACCTGACTAAGTACAACAAAGGAGTACCTCTGGACATTTTCGTATCAGTAAATATATAGTCAAGTTGTCATAAAGATTTTTTTGTCTTGGKTAATGTCAAGTTGTCATAATCAAGCCATTTTAAACAATGTGAACTTTGCAATAAATGTGTCATAATTTACCAAATAACAGTCATAAACATTCATGTTCATGACAGGTGTCATGCCATGTTTATGACAGTGTCATGTCAGCCTTATGTACACCCCTTCAAATAAAGTGTTACCAAATGTGCCATGGCTGTTTATCTTCCATCATGAATGGCCCTGTACACGCAACAGTAGGCTTCGCTGTGGGGTAGGAGCCATGTWAGGAGGGCAGCAGATACAAAGGGGAGGGACCTGTAAGGGGTGCTTRTTCAAATTTTCAGGCTATGTACATGGTATGCAGCTTTAAAATACTGAAAATTGGTACAAATGAAATGTATAATATTCACCAGAAAGAAGCATCAGTGTGCTGAAGAGATTCAGTGAGCTAGCTGCTCAAGTTAAGTCACTTTGGAAGTCCAGGTTGTTGTTTGGTACTATCTGCATGGCGACATCTTAGCCTACTCCCATCAGAGAAGAATGTGCAACAAAGAAAKCGTCAGATCTTAAACAAACACCGACTGACAAGACTCAACTACTGTCCCCGTGTCTACTGTAGCTCTCCTGCTGTTTCTAAAAGTTGTGTGAAGCTTTGCAAATTCCGGCTTTCCTCGTTAGGATTTTACAAAACTCCAGCTGAACATGTTGAAAGGAGAGGCTGGCACTGACAGGCTGTGTCCCTTATTAAAAAAATGYCACGCTGGGAGCAAAGGGAGGTGCGGACCAGGCCCTTGAAAGACTTCCTTCCTTTACACCCTGCAGAAAATTTCAATTTCGCCCACAGAGCCTCGGGTTGCTCAGCATGCTGGTCTCCTGCACTGGGCCTACTGGGTGGAGGCAGAAGGAAAATTCAAACTATTCGAGCTTCAAAGTCTTTGTGGGACAATCTGTCAGTCAGAGTATTGGTTTGGGTAGAGCTGGTGACCAAATAATACTTAAAATGACTRAAAGCATCACAAAATGACTGAAACTGTCAAAACAAAATTCCCATCAACTTGAGAGCACTACTCTACGGCATTGTGTTCTTATTAATATTAATTTTGACAATAACAGTTAAGATTTGTTTGTTTGCTCCAGAGTGCCAGTGAGACCTTTACAAGCACAGCTTGTGTACCGTACAGTACCTGCTCAACCCCTCAGGTGTACAACCCAAGTTCTGAAAGTTCCCATGAATATTTCAAGATGCTAATCTCAGCATCCTGGAGGCTAATTTGAATTTTAAAAGGTGACAGGAAAAGGGATGAAGATGGCGTAAGCTGTTTAAATACAGCAAGCACCCACCACCTCCAGTTGAGGATTACAATAGTCTTCCTCGCTCCCTTCTGCCATCACAGTGTCTCCTCTGCAAGAATCGATTTCCTTCTGTTTTCTCCTTTGCTGATACATCCATGCAGATATTGGTTTGAGAAACACGACACATTGGCTCTGTAAAGAAGCCAACAAACAGCCCTCTAAACTAATTCCCATTCCCAGAGAGTGACATGTGATTTTCTCCAAGGGTGCCAAATTAAACATCCCACTGTGACTGATACATCGTTTACCGCCAGTGTTGTGATTTAGGTCTTCGCAGGGTGAGATTACAACACCAGCAATGTTTTTTTTTTCTCCTTCCCAATATTCTTGCTCTACC